TTTTTTTTTTTTAATACGTCTTTATTGATTTCAGAGAGAGGAAGGGAGAGGGACTTGAGAGTCATTGATTGCCTGCCTCCTGCATGCCCCCTACTGGGGATCAAGCCTGCAATCTGGGCATGTACCCTGACTGGTAATCAAACCTCCATCACCTGCTTCATAGGTCAATGCTCAACTGCTGAGCCACACTGGCTGGGCCCTGAACTTTAAATGTAGCCAGATCTATCATTCTCAATTCACTTTTGAGCCTTCCACAGATAACATTTTTACATAGCCTTAATTCATACAAGGTGGAGCAAAAGTAGGTTTACAGTTGTTTGTATGGAAAATAATACAATAATCAATATGAACAAAATAGATCCAGAGACATAGAAGCATGGGACAGATTGATGAATCTCAGAGGGAAGGCAGGGGTGGAGCGAGATTAACCTAAGAACTTATATGCGTCTGTGTATAACCCATGGACAGAGACAATAGTATGGGGAAGGCCTGCAGGGAGCAGTGCAAGGGGGAGGGGGTCGATGGGGGAGAAAAGGGGGACACTTGTAATACTTTCAACAATAAAGATAAATTTATAAAAACAAAAAAATAATACTACAAGAATAAACTCTGTTTTGTATACTCACAACTGTAAACCTACTTTTACCCCACCCTGTATGTACATGACAAGAGTACTATCAAACTTATGTGGCATTTATTTAGTGTAAGAAATTACTTCAAGTGTGTTATATATCTTAATTCATTAAGTGATTTTCAACAAAAGTTTCTGGAGCTATTACTATGATTCTGTTAGGTAAATATTAAATTTTGTTTAATTTTAAAGTTGCCATTTGAATAATTTTTAGTATGACTATTAAAAGTATACAAAAAATAAAATACAAATTTTCATTGCCTTTTTTGGGGGGGGGGAATTATTCCTGTGGAATAGAGATACAATAGAATGATCAAGTCAGAGGGTCTGGATTGGTTTATTTATTTATTTATTTATTATTTTTTAATCCTTACCTGAGGATATGTTTTTATTGATTTTTAGAGAGAGAGGAAGGGGGAGAGAGAGGGGGAGAAACATCAATGTGAGAGAGAAACATCAATTGGTTGCCTACCATACGGGGATCAAACCTGCAACCTACGTATGTGCCCTGACCAAGAATTGAACCCGCAGCCTTTTGGTCATGGGATAACGCCCAATCAACTGAGCCACACCGGCAAAGGTTGGATTGTTTCATAGTCTTGTTATATGAGGTGCTCTGTCACCATTCAGCTGGGTGAATCATCGATGATGCTGGGTCTCATTTGAAAAATGAAGGGATTAGATTAGAATATCTTCAAGAGCCCCTTCTGGTCTGAGAGTCTATGAATTTATTATCAGAAAATCTCTGGACCAATGTACTCTATAATCAACAACATGTAAATTTACTTAATTCCACATAGAAGTAGTGTTGTTGTAGCAAGTAAGTTTTCCTTTTAGCCTCGTTCAATCTTCTGTGACTCAGACGCTTGCGTGTGGAAACTTCTAGCTTTATATTTATGTATTTTATCATGAAGGACTCATCAAAAGATGATAAAATTTTTTTTTGCTTTTCTAGACAGAATAAATCTAAGTCGGAAATTACCCACATGGTTCGCTCCTCCACTATCACAGTATCAGACAAGGCTCATATTTTGTCGATGCAGAAGTTTGGACTGCGAGATACAATGGTGAAATCACATCTGGTGCAGAAAGAAGAGGATTATACCTATATCCAGAATTTCAGGTAGCTAACTGGGTCTTAGACTGTTTTCAAAGGAAAATGATCATTCAGCTCTTTGAAATTTAAGTACTTACCTCCACCCATAATCCCCTGGATTTGGAAGCAAATCCTAGTACAGAATGTCTCCCATCGTTTTCTAAATGAGCGATTCCTTTCACTCTCCTTTAGCAGGCGTTATTCTGTGCCTTTTCTGCCAGGCACTGTGGTGGGTGTGGCACAGTGGGAGTGACACAGCTTGCAAATAGTTACAGAAATATTTGAAGAGCTATGTGGGTACACAAGAAGGAACGATATCCTGACGTTGGTGTAGCCCTTGGTCATTCTGGGCCATTGAAGAAAGTCATTTAAATTGAAGTCAGTAAAATGAAGTTAGTGTTTGGTAATCTTCTTAGACAGGATTATTGAAAGTTAAATGATTGCTTGGTGATCATAAGACAAAGCAACATGGCTTCTAGGGATGGAAATAGTCAATTATGGTGGATACTGCTATTGCTTTCCTTCTGAAAGTAATTACCAAGGTACTTTTCATTTCCACAGCATACGCAGGGTAAAGAATGATTTTGTGGATTACAGCTCTCTAATGGCGTTAGAGCCAAGTAGGAATGATCAGAGCAGGCCTGTGCTATTCAAAGTTCTCACAAAAGCGACAGATATCACAGCAGACTGCAGTCATTGGTCTAGGTTCGATGTGACATTTCGTATGTCTTAAAATGCTTTCCCCTGTTGTCTGTGTAGTCCTCTTGAGTGACTGATTGATTCTCTTTGGTAACAGGTTTTTTGTGGGAACATACAATGTGAATGGACAATCCCCCAAAGAATGCCTGCAGCCTTGGCTAAGTCATGGTATCCAGGCCCCAGATGTATACTGTGTAGGGTGAGTGCTTCTCTCCCAGTCGCCTCTGCCTTCTCAGAAACGTATAGCTGTGGTTGAAGGGAAGCGGACATGAAGACAGGGTGGCAAGAGTAGGTTTACAGTTGTTCATATGGAAAATAATATAGCAATTAATAAATAATAATGCAAAAATAAGCTGTGTTTCACATACTCACAACTGTAAACCTGCTTTTGCCCATCCCTGTATATACCTGAGTCGCCACAGCAGGTGAAGGAATTGAAGGACAGGCGTGTGCTTAGTAACAGCTGCTTCTCTGTTTGACACTCTTCCTCGTAGTAAACATGTTCCTGGCACGATTAAAGTTATGTGTGTGGCATTTAAATGCTCTTATTTGATTTTTAGTGGAATACTCTTTTAAAATCACGGCACCTTGAACTGACTTTCATTACTTAGCCATTCAACACTTTTGGTCATGAAGCAAAAATATCTTTTGCCAGGGAAGGAAGGTTAGCTTTAAAAAAGAAAGAAAGGCCCCATCAGTCCGTCCTTTTTGTTTCACACTTGCTATTCTCCTACCACTATTCTGGGCCTTGTTGATGGGGAGGGGGCAGCAAAGAAGCCTGTACGGTAAAGCGAAAAGGGCCCGGAATTTGGAAGGTATGTAGACCTACGTCTGAACCCATTTGCCCCTCGGTGCTTGTGTGAACTCATGATCTCAGATGTCAAATGCAGACGCTTCGAACTACTGCACAGGCTGGTTATGAAGAGGAAACGGCCGCTGCTTGTGAAAGCACTGGTAGGTGCCATAGCATTTTGACCCTCGGCTCTAAGTGTTTGTTTTTCTTTCCTCTTGAGGATCCTGCAGTTTAGCCAGAAAGCCAGGATTTACGCACCCAAACCAATCTGAGGCCATGTCATCTTGCACATTACCTTTCTCTACTTTCTGACCGCTTGCTTCTCCTAATAGGTTCCAGGAGCTTGATCTGAGTAAGGAGGCCTTTTTCTTCCATGATACCCCAAAGGAGGAAGAGTGGTTTAAAGCTGTATCAGAGAGTCTTCATCCAGATGCCAAGTATGCAAAGGTAAGAGAGGAGTCAGGGAATTTTAGGTTGCCACGCAGGGAAATCCTAAGACAGTATTTCACTTTTTCCCTAAGCCAGTCCTAATTATCCTGCTATTTTCAGTGTTAGGTCCTCTGGAAGAGGCGCCTGTGGGTGGGCAAGATGCAGGTCTTGGCACTTGCAGGCGGTTTAGGTTGTCACGTAGCATGCTAAGTGAGTCGAGCAGGTGATTACCCCACATCCTCATGTGGAGGAGATACAGTAATAGTCTCAGCTGCTCTGAGACCACTTCTCTTTTAGGATCTTCACTCCTGCTTTTGACTCCTCCTTAATGCCATGACTTGAATGTTTGACTCTGTTTTCCAGGTGAAGTTCATCCGCCTAGTCGGGATTATGCTGCTGTTGTATGTCAAACAGGAACATGCAGCACACATCTCAGAAGTGGAAGCTGAGACCGTGGGGACAGGAATCATGGGGAGGATGGTGAGTTCTTGGTGGTCTCTTTGGCACACCGAGGGCCTCGATCCCTAAGGTGTTGACCCCACTTCTCATGATATGTTGACTGAGTGTATCCCAGTTTGAAGATGCTGGTATTATATGACAAAGCAGGGCTGGACGAAGCAGACCATTTACAAATTGTATTTTAGGGAATTGCTGGCTGATTTGCTCAACTAGCATGGATCCTCATGTTTATGCTCCACACTGGAGCCTCTAGTTTATCTTCCCATTTAATCCATGAGATACAGTTTCTTGCAGAAACTATATTGGATCACAAAGGAGAAGAAAGAATGCTGGTGAAGATTTGCAATGTCCCCTTCTTCTTGAGGCTATTAAAGGCCTGCTTTTAGGTTCTACTGCAAGAGCTCAGCTTCCTGTGGAGAAGGGAAAGCATGTGGCTTTCCTGTGATTTGGTGGAAAGTGAACTCAGCTTTGCCATGGACTGGCTAGTCATTCTGCCTTCTTGGATTTGTTTTCTTTACCTGTAAAATGCAGACAATAACACTGCTTTACTTACCTCACAGGATTATTAAGACTCTTTAAGAGAGAACATTTTGAAAGTTTGTGGGTTGAAATGACTGACAGAATTAAGTTGTAAACTGGATTTTCCTGGGCTCCTTTTCCTAGGGTAACAAAGGAGGTGTGGCGATCAGGTTCCAGTTCCACAATACCAGCATTTGCGTTGTGAATTCTCACTTGGCAGCCCACACAGAAGAGTATGAGAGGAGGAACCAGGACTATAAAGACATTTGCTCTCGAATGCAGTTTTGTCAGGTTGACCCAAGCCTTCCCCCTCTCACCATCAGCAAGCACGAGTGAGTCTGGGCTTCTACTCCAAACGGGTCACATGCTGGGTGTGTGGAGTTGTGAGCTCTCTGTTTTGTTAGGGAGGTGATTGGGGGGGCGGTTCCCACTGCTGGAGTGGGAACTCTTGCCAACTCTCAGTTAAACGCAGATCATGTCCCTTGGAAAGGTTTAGTTTCCTAACTTACCATCTGGCAGACCTCTAGAATTGTTCTCAAATCATTTGTCCCTGGAAAATGTATTAGATTTATTTTAATATGGCTCTGCCCTGATACAATATCACAAGGAAAGCAACCAAAGAGCGAGCATCACAACTCCAGGTTTTAGAACTATGTTTTAGGATTTTATACGTCTGTTCTTTCCAGAAGCAGGTGTAATTGGGAGTGACTGCATTTGTCTGCCTTCACTTAGTCTTTTATACCTCAGCTTTATAAAGCTATAGTTGGAGCTGCTTGGAGCATCTTGTGCTAATTTTTGTCTATTCTCTTTATTTCATTTATCTCTAAAACTTCCTATCTGTCTAAATTCAAGGCATATTAGAATTTCAGACTTGAAAGTAACACTTGAAGCTTGTGCCACTTCTTTTATAAAGAGGAAGAAGACACTGGTGTCTGCCAGGGAGTGTACAGAGTCCAGCCTCTCATCCTGCCTGCTGCCATGGTGGACTGTCTTGAGCTCACTGGTATCCTAGAAGCTGACAGGATGGCTTTCCTTCTCCAGGGAACCTATCAGGGAGTGTGTCTTCCGTTCTGCTAAGCCTGCAGCATCCTAGTTTGTGAGGTTGCAACTTGCATGTCAGTTTGTCTCCTTTTATTTTGGGGTGTGTATACTGCTGTGCAGATTCTCTCATAACTTGATAGTTGGCTTCTGATAGAGCCGTTTTGGACTTTATGGGATGTGCAGTTATCTAGGAGCATTCAGTTATCTTTTTCCCCAAAGCATCAGGTGTAGTGAAACACCTGTCACACTCTGCAAAAAGAGCCAACCGATGATGCTATGGCGGTGATTAAACCCAGATTCTACTGTAAAGGTTGAGCTTTGTTTCAGAGTAACTCAGCTCTAGAAACAAAGGCTGAGAGTGTGTTTTGCGGGCTGGAGCGTGTGTGGAGGCAGAGGTAACATCGTGGCATCATCTAGTTTGGGGTCCCTGGGTGATTGACATTACTCCCAATAATTGATCTTTTTGCCTCTTCCCAAGAAGGAAGTAAATTGTCTTGCTTTCAGATCCTGTTAGACTATCTTTCTAACCATACAAGAATATAGTCAAGGAGAACTCAAGGCTGTTTATAATGAACTTGGACCAAGATAATTGAGTAAGCAGGATGTTAGACATGGTATTGAATGGGATGGCAAGAGAGAAAGATTTCCTGAGTAGCTCAGTCACTCCCCCATCCAGCTCCCAAGAGGCTGGGCCTCTGGGGCCTTCTGTGAGAAGCCCACTGGATAAGATGGGTAAAGTCCCTACTAAACCCTGTGACCTTTGTGCTCTGTCCTCACAGTGTGATCTTGTGGCTGGGGGACCTCAACTACAGGATAGAAGAGCTGGATGTGGAAAAGGTGAAAAAGCTCATCGAAGAGAAGGATTTTCAAACCCTGTATTCATATGACCAGGTACAGTGGCCGCCTGTGTGCTCTCAGGCAGCTGTCCCCACACTGTGAGGGTACAGAAAAGCCTGGCTTCCCAACTCTCAGCCTCTTTTCCCTAGGCTTGGGAGGCTTCCCTGAGGAGCTGATGTCCAGTCATGGCTTGCTTTCATCTGCATTTCCCTCTTCCATAGTTGTCTCCCCGTGAACTCATCCCTCGAGGGGCCTAGTCTTGCGTGGGAGCAGGAGCGTGTTCTCTCTCTCTCCCCCTCTCTCTGCCTCTCTTGTGCTCATTCATTCATTCATTCATTCAAGCTGGGACTATAGGGATACCAGAGTTTTCATAAATAAGATACTTGGTATATTTAAAATTACCTTTTAATTTTTTTGAATATGCCCCCTTTCCCCTCTCCTCTCCTCCCCAGACTTGTCCAGTGTGAATGGCAACTCTTTTTCCCGAGTGGCTTCCTTCACTTCCAGCGGGAATCAGTTCTATAACCTGCTTCTCTCCCACCATTGTTTGGGTTAGCATTTCTGTCTCAGAGCATTAGCCATTTCACAGGACAGGAGAAATCAGTGTCTCTGACTTTCTTCAGGTTACTCCTCAATAGACTTAAAAACTGTTGCAGTGGTCAGAATTGTTCAGAATGTTAAAGTTCTTTTTCCTTTTAGTCTATGTCCCCTTTTTAATAATCGTAGTATTCATTAGTCTAAATCTTCCCGTTATCTTCCCCCCCCAATGCAGATCAATTGTAGGGAAAAAAACCTAAACTTTATATCTTTCTTTCTGGAATAATCTCTTTATTAACCCATTTTTTTTCTCTGTAGTTGTTTCCCTTGGTAAATTAGTTTTATTCTCTTTAATACTCATTTCAGCATTAACCTATTCTATTATTCTATTCTATTCTATTCTATTCTATTCTATTCTATTCTATTCTATTCTATTCTATTCTATTCTATTCTATTCAACTGTCTGTTGAATATTGCCTCTGTTCTGGACCAAGGTATTCTGATTTCCCTGGGAGTTTAATACTCATCTCCTCTTGCCTTCTTTTCTGGTCTTTCCATGAGTAATAGTACCTGTTTTGTGTGTTCTCTGCTTTCCAGATGGTTTTAAGGTCAATATATACCGATTCAAGAAACAGCTTACCTTAATACCTAAATTTTTATTATTTCCTGTTGCTCTTTCTTTAATAGTTTATATTAGGGATTCACATTTTGGGGAATTTGGCAACTGTTATCTCCTACATTAGAGTTGACAGTTCAGGCAGGATCACCTGTGCTTTTATCTCTTGCTGAGAGTGTGATCTGGAAGGAGCTCCTAGAGTTTGTGCACTCGGAAGGATGCTAGCTATTATCATAATGTGTCAGGCACCATTCTAAGTTGACAGTTCATTTTTCTAACAATCCTGTGAAGCAGATTCTAAGTCCAAAATTTACAGATGGGGAAATCAAGGCACACAGCTTCTTTCAGTTCATTTAACTAATTGGACAAGCTTCTTTTAAAAGTGTTTTGTTTTTAAAGTTTTGTTGTTTTTTTAAATATATCTATTGATTTCAGAGAGAGAAAGGGAGAGGGAGAGAGAGATAGAAACATCAATGAAGAGAGAGTCGTCATTGATTGGCTGCCTCCTGCACGCCCCTGACTGGGGATTGAGCCTGCAACCCGGGCATGTGCCCTGACTGGGAATTGAACTGCAATCTCCTGGATCCTAGGTTGATGCTCAACCTCTGAGCCACACCCAACTGGGCTAAAAGTGGTTTTTAATTTAAATTTAAACCAATTTAAATAATACCAATTGGTTTGGTATATTTCTACTATATATTTCTACATATATGGAAGTTCCCCTTTGCTTTTTGGACTGTATCTTTCCAGACCTTTTCTATGATGTTTCAATCTTTCTGTATAATTGAAACAACTGTGCTACACAGATGAAGGTTTGATACCTAGAAGGGGGAAACTCTATTGATACCTAATCCTCTTAGGGACGTCTCAGTAATATGGTATTCAGGCCCCTTGGATGCAGGTAACTCTTATAAAAATGCCTTAAAAACTGTATAACAGGCGAAGGAAATGTTACCTTGTTCCTCTTCCTAGAAGTTACTTAGGTCAAGATCTTACGTACAATGTACGGATGATGTGTTGCGGAATTGTGCACCTGAAACCTATATAATTTTGTTAACCAGTGTCACCCCAATAAAGTCAATAAAAAGGAAAAAATAAAATAAAATGTAAAACTTAAAAGAAAAAAGATCATACAGAATAGCTTTTTCATGGGCCTTTCGTTTGAGTTAGGGTTCAATTTTCAAATTGTTTCCTCTGCTAATTCAAGGTTTGACCTTTTATTCTGAGATTTTTTTTCTTCAACCTTTTGTATAGCTAAAAACTCAGATGGCTGTAAAGGCTGTCTTTGAAGGCTTCACAGAAGGCGAGCTCACGTTCCAGCCTACCTATAAGTATGATACTGGCTCCAACGAGTGGGATACCAGGTAGGTCAGAGGTTGCTTCAGGGCTTCGGGCAAATGGAAACCCAGAAATTTAGGGACGCACTCGCCCTCATGGGCTTGAAGAAAATAGGTTTACTGTGACTTTTTCTCCATGTTTCGTAGTCCGGTTGAGCATTTTCTCTGTGTCTGCTCATTAAACAGCCTGCCTTCCTCCATGTTTTCTCTTTCACTGCTTTAGCCTTTGTTCCTTAATAACTCTTGCGAGTGGTTTACTTTTAAGCTATGTCTAAGGTGATGAGATGATTCCAACTAACTTAGGTTGTATTTGGTGATTACAGAGTAGTTCATTTATTTTATTAGTGCCTATGGTATGCCATGCCCTGTTTGATGCATTTTACTTGTATTATCTCATTTAATCTTCTCAAGAACCTGTTGAACTAGGTATGATTTACTTTTCTCATTTTATAGATCAGGGGACTGAGGCATTAAAAAATTAAAGAGCCTCCCATGCAGGCAAGTGTAGAGCCAGGATTTGAACCCAGGCAGTAGGAATTCAAAGCCTGTTGTTTTTTAAAAATATGTATTTATTGATTTCAGAGAAGGAAAGAGAGAGGAAGAGAGAGATAAAAACATCGATGATGAGAGAGAGTTATTGATCAGCTGCCTCCTGTACACCCCCATTGGAGATCAAGCCCACAACCTGGGCCTGTGCTCCAACTGGGAATCGAACCATGACCTCCTGGTCCACAGGTTGATGCTCAACCACTGAGCTACACTAGCTGGGCAAAACCTGTTTTAACCACCATCTTTTAAGAACCATAGAGTACTTACTGTCAGATTCCTTTTTGACTCTTACCTCATCCCCAGAGGAGGGTAAAGAACAGAGAATCATTCTGAACAGTATTTTGGAAGATACACAGGATTCATGTTATATCTTGGTGAGCCCACATCACTCCTGACCTCTCAGATCCCTGGGCTGCAGGGACTGGAAGGCTCTCCCCAGTCATTGCCCTGCTGAGCCAGGGTGCTAGCCCGGCAGTTAGTGTTCAGCTGTGCCTATGAAGGCCCCCAGTGTGGACTTTGCATTTCAGTGAGAAGTGTCGTGCTCCTGCCTGGTGTGACCGGATCCTCTGGAAAGGGAAGAACATTACTCAGCTGAGTTACCAGAGCCACATGACCCTGAAGACCAGTGACCACAAGCCTGTCAGCTCAGTGTTTGACATTGGGGTAGGTGGGCAGCTGGTGCCTGTTGTAATCTTCCCGTAGGGAATAGTAGGTTCCCACAGCCAGGACCACTTTTGTCTTTCTGGTGCCCTCCTCCTCCCTTGAGTGTGATGAAGCTCCTTTAAAAATTGTTTTCATTTCATTTCAAAGCAATTCAGAATTGCTTTGATATACTACTACTGTATGTTTGTTTCTACATACATGGAAGCTCCTCTTTACTTTTTGGACTGTATCTTTCTAGACCTTTTTCCATGCATTTACAGATGTGGATCAGTATTCTGTATATAACATAGAGGATGTTTTTAGAGGAAGTTTTTCCTTTTTTGTGAAAGAGATCATATTATGCATATTGTTCTGAGGACATCTTTTTTTCCCCACTGACTATGTCTCAAGAGATCTTTACATGACACTAAAGGCAGAGCTCCCTCATTATTAAAGGCTTCAAAATCCTCCACAGTGTGGATGAACCATAGTGTATATGTTGATGGTCATTTAAGTTCTTTTCAAAGTCTTGCTCTTATATTCAGCGGTGCCTGTGAAGGCCCCCAGTGTGCAGTGGTGACCACACTTCATGTATATCTTTGTGTACCAGTGTATTTCTATAGAATGAAATTCCTGGGGGCAAAATTAGTGGTTCAATGAAAAGTGTATTTTAAATTTATTAGATTTTGCTAAATTATCCTCCCAATAGTTTTTACCATTTTATACTTTTGCCAACCGTGTGTCAGCTTATTTTGCCACACCCTGGGTAATACTGGGTTTTGTCCGTTTTTTAAATTTCTACCAACAAGTGAGCCAAAAGAAAAAGATATTTCATATTACATTTTCCTGATTACTAGTGACATTGAACATCTTTCCATTTATTCCCTATTTGTATCTCTTCTTCAGTGACTTCTGTGTTTCTTTATATTATCAATTCTCAAGGGTGCAGGTAGAGGCACGTCGGAATCCATGAGGGTGTGAGTGGTTTGAAAAAATCTAATGAATGTTATAATTAAAGCTTTATTATTGGAAAGTGACAAAAATTGTGTTTATAATTCAAAATATGGAAGGGAAAACGTGACAAAATCTTGGAGCACATTTAGTTAAAAAAGCTTGAGAAATGCTTTTTTAAAAAAGAAATGCTGCTTTAAATCAAAGCTCTAGAGAGATTTCTTGCTTCAGGCCTTTTGGCAGCAGCAAGCAAAGTAGAGCTAGGCACTGAGCATCCCTCTGCCCTGGTCCTGAGACCTGGTAGAATTGCCAGCTAGGCTTTCACTCCACATCTGCTTTCTGCTCATCAGAAGCAGTGCACTTTACCACAAGCTTTGTCTCTGGGCGACCTTTCTATGTCTATTGTTGATTAGGTTCTTTGTTAATTAAATCTATTTAGTTTCCACTTTCTGTATTGCTATATCCCAATGCCAGAATGTTCTCTATACTGAAAAAGAGGAAATGGGCAGCAGATATGTCACTTAGCCTCTGATGTTTCCTTCCAGGTGAGGGTTGTAAATGAAGAGCTTTACCGGAAGACTCTGGAGGAGATTGTTCGCTCCCTGGATAAGATGGAAAATGCCAACATTCCTTCTGTGACGCTCTCCAAGCGAGAGGTAGGAAGGAAGCGTTGAGAATATCAGCATCAAGCCCTGGCCAGTTTTGCTCGGTGGTTAGAGTGCCAGCCCTCCTACCGAAGGGTCTCAGATTCGATCCTGACCGTAGTAGGGGTGTGCGGGAAGCAACCCGTCAATGTGTCTCTTTCACGTCCATGTTTCTCATGCTATCTCCCTCCCTTCCACTCTCTAAAAATCAATGGAAAAAATGTCCTTGTGTGAGGATTAACAACAGCAACAAACAAGAATATTGGCATCAGGCTCCTCTATTCATAGAGCTTAAATCTCATCTACTAGGGCGTAGAATTCCAGGTACGCGTCAGACTTCTAGATAAAGTGAGGTTGATGATGCTAGCTGAGAAGAGAGGGGTCGTTGGTTTAGATTATGGTCATCTCCTGATCTTCCAAACCAGAAGGCTTTAACCTTTTGTGGCTCATAGATTTCACCCACACATGGGCCATCTATGATTTAAATAATGGCATACGTGATTTAAAATATGTTGTTTGATTTCAGTGTAGTGCATTCTTTCATTGGGTTTGTCTTCCTACTAATGCTTTGCTTTGAGATTAAATTGAGTCCGAATTTCTTGGGTATGTTTGAGTTGATGGTAGGGAAGGCAGATGGAAAAGCAATGGGAAGTGGGAGAAGTCAAGTTAGGGCTAAAGATTTTTCATGAAAGAGCCACAGCATAGATCATTCAGAATTGACAATACCAAGAAGTCATTCAAATGGGAATTTATGGTGAGAGTATTTTTAATACCTTACATGTCCAGCCACTTGGAAGGAAAAGCTTGGTCATCACGTTTGGGGTGGAATTTGTGAAGGATGTTTTGGAAATGGCCTTTGGGTATAGAAAATGTGAACTTTGATTCCTTTGGGAAATTTATTTATAAGACAGCATGAGTTCTTTGAGTTTTTGAGTTTCTGGGTTAAACACAGACAATTGGTCTTTAATGGTAGCGGTGGCCTCCCAGGTAAATACTTAGAGCAGAAACATGATTTGAAGGAGGTGGCCCTTCATTTTCTTTCCAGAAAGGGCAAGGATTGCCCAGTTGGGTGTCTGGACAGGTTGCCGAGAAGGCGGCACTGGTCTGACCGGTCCCGGGCTTGTTCTCAGTTCTGTTTTCAGGATGTGAAGTACATGCAATTGCAAGTGGAGTCCTTTACAATTCATAATGGACAAGTACCCTGTCAGTTTGAATTCATCAACAAGCCTGATGAGGAGTCTTACTGTAAGCCGTGGCTGAATGCCAACCCCAGCCGAGGGTTCCTCCTGCCAGGTGAGGCCTCTGTTCCCAGGTTCCTGGTTCCTGGTTTGGGGAACACTCTACCCAGTCTTTGCTCATTTTCCTGAAGTAAGCTTTTTGTTGTTGAGTGCTTTGTTTCTGCTTGGAACTTCTTAAAAGTCCTGTGGATGCATCATCTAATTAGGTACTTTAATTTAGGTACATCTACAAATAAAATATAAAATAGCGAGGAGCCGGAGTTCAGCTTCAGAAGCATTCTCAGCCCTGGCCGGTTTGGCTCAGTGGTTAGCCCGTCGCCCTGGGGACTGAAGGGTCCCAGGTTCAATTCCAGCCAAGGGCACGTACCTCAGTTGCAGGCTTGATCCCCAGCCCTGGTCGGGGCACGTGTGGGGGACAACCAATCAATGTGTCTCTCTCACGTTGATGTTTCTCTCTCTCCCACACTCTGAAAAGCAATGGGAAAAATATCCTCGGGTGAAGATTAAAAACAAAGAACAGAAGCATTCTCGACCATGTATTTGTTCCATAATCTCATAGAAAGAGAAAACCTAGGAGAGTGCTGTGAAACAGGTGCTGCTGTTAAAAGAACCATTTTTAGCGCTGGCTGGGTGGCTCGGTTGGAGTGTCATCTAGTACACCAAAAGGCTGCGGGTCTGTTTCCCGGCCAGGGCACATACCTAGTTTTCCAGCTCAGTCCCCAGTCGGGGAGCATAGAGGAGGCACCCAATCTCTCTCTCTCTTCCTTCCCCCCCTTCCTCCCTCCCTCCCTCCCCCCCTTCCTTTCTCTCCAAAATCAAGAAAAACACAGTCTTGGGTTGAGGATTAAAAAACAACCATTTTTACTGTCAGCCCCACCATAATCAACTCCTCTTTGGGGAAAGATAATGGGGTGATAACCCCAAAATTATATCTGGCCCTGGAATGTACCGTCCATACCTTTCCCCTGACTTCTCCTTTACATTCTATGTTGTGCTGGGTGGCAGAGGGATTTAAGCCTGTTTTGTGGACAGTTCACAGTCTGGTAGTTTCATTATATTTTCTACTGGGTCAGGTGTCTGCGACTGCCTTGCTCAGGGCAAGCTTTTTGACCCATGACTTCTTAGTGTGTTAATAATTACGAGTTTGAGCTGAGCTCCTAGAACTTGAGTTTCACAGCAGTCGCCTCTTCATGTTTGTTTGTTGTTTTCATAGTCCTACTTGGACTATAAACTCTGTTCGTGTGTCTCTTGAGTGCTGAGCACATAAATGCTTGTTGGTTGGCTCTTAATTCCTAATTTTCTTTCCATAACACTTTAGGCCTGACTCTCTTCCCCCTCTGTCTTCTTTCCCCCTTTTGTCTTGGCCTCCCACCAACTAATATTACTTTTTAAATTTTTCTTCAGATTCTGCTATGGTGATTGAATTGGAGGTATATGTAAATAAGACCACGGCTACAAAGCTCAACTCGGGTGAAGACAAAATTGAGGACATTCTCGTTTTGCACTTGGACAGGGGAAAGGATTACTTTTTGTCTGTGTCTGGGAACTACGTGCCCAGCTGTTTCGCATCTCCCATTCATACATTGTGCTACATGAGGGAGCCAATTTCGGACCTGCCGCTTGAAACTGTTAGAGAGCTGGTGAGTTATGTGCCACAAGGAAACATCTAGTACTGTGTAGCAGCCAACCAGTCAAATAAGATACTCCTCTGCCCACCTTCCCAGGGACCTGAGAATTCTTCAGCCTCCCTAGAGCTGGCCTACTGTATCAGTTACATATTGCTGTGTAACAAACCACCCTGAAAGTTTAATGGTTGAAAGCAACAAGTTATTGCTCCTCCTGACTCTGAGTTTCCCGTGTGCCTCTTCTGCTGGTCTTGCCTAGTCTCGTTTGTGCAATTGCCATCAGGTGGTGGCAAATTGTGAAGCCAACCCAGATTCCAGGGACGGGAAGAGACTCTATCACTTGGAGAAGCTGCAAAATGTTGTGGCCATGTTCTTCAGTCTTTCATACACAGTGCATTAGAGAAACTCAGCCATGGATATGATGATAATGAAGGTCCCCGGCCCATGATCTTACTATTTTTTAATCATCACCTGTAGTACATCATCCTAAACTAAATTTTTTGAGATCTGAGAGAATCCTATGGAGACAGTGCCAATACAGTGGAACTAGTTTGGAGGAGATGTATGGTAATACATATGCTCCCCCCACCCGTGCACTTTTTAGTTTAGCTGCTCTCCAACACTGTCCTCTCCATTGTACAGATGAAAACAGAGGCCCCATAAGGAGAGTGACTTGTCACAGGTCACATGGCAAGTTGACAGTGGACGTGGACCTTGCATTCAGGCTTTTGGACTCCCAAGTCTGTGCTCTTTTTTTCACAGGACCATACTATCTTTCTAGCTCTGCCAGTGAAACGCTATAGGCAGGATTTTTTTCTAAGAAGTTGATGCATATTTTTACCTGATTCATTGTCACTTCTTGCTATAATCCACTCCCAGTTCTCAAAAATCACCCTTGTACTTTGCACCACCTGATTTGATTTTTGACTGTGGAATGTCTGTTTAGGGGTATTGAAGTGCTTCCCTTCTTCCATGGGTTTGCTGTCCCTATATCATGCGCTCTCCTGAAGCCAGCCTGGCACAGGTTCCATTGGTGGGGCTTCTTATATTTTTTATTTCTTTTCAGACTCTGATGCCACTCCGGACTGAAGATGATGGCAGCCAGTTGGAGAACCCCTTGGAAATCCCCAAAGAGCTCTGGATGCTGGTTGATTACCTATACCGAAATGCTGTCCAGCAGGTGGGTGGTGCTCATGCAGTCGGGCCTATGGAGGCTAGGCTGCCTTGAGAAAGGGCATCAGCCCCAACAATTTTTGGCGTAAGCAGCTTTTACTCCAGAGAACCTGTGAAAAGCTGCTCTTCCCTCAGGGAGTGAAGGAGGGATAAATAGGTTCATGTTTCACACCCTTGTGGGATTGTGATATTACATAAAGCATTTGATTACCCCCAAGGGAAGCAGCCTTGCACGGAATGGCCTTCCCAGCACTGCACGTTCTCTCCCCTGGCCTCTGGGGTCGCCCAGGTAGAAAGCCATCTGGAGACTTCTCAGGCTCTCAGCCTGCTCTCCATTTCAGGAACTCTCCCCAGCTTCTAGGAGTGGAAGGTGCTAACTTGTAGACAAGCCCGAGGCAGAAAACCAGATGGAATTTCCGGGCCATGAGTCAGGAGGCCTGATTTCTAGTGACTTGGGCAACCTTCATTGAGATCAGATTGGCTCAACCACTGAGCCACTCCCGGCCGGGCTCTCTTTCTTTTTTAAATATGACTTTATTGATTTGATTTCAAAAGGAGGGAAAGAGAGAGAGAGAGAGAGAAACATCGATGTGAGAGAAACGTTGATTGGTTGCCTCTCATAGTCATCCCAATGGGGGACTGAACCCACAATCTGGGCATGAGCCCTGACCAGAATTGAACCGGCAACCTTTCAGTGCATGGGATGACACTCAACCAACTGAGCCACACCGGCCAGGGCTTCAAGTGTAACTTTTGAGCAATACATATAATATAGTTATTATTAATACGGTTGGATGACATTAAGTAATTTTATAAAACAAATGGATATGAAATCCCCTCTATAATACAGTTGGATGGCATTAAGTCATTTTATAAAACAAATGAATATGAAATCCCCTAGGACTACCAGAAAAACCTTTATTTCCATAATCTTGTTTTCATAAAGCACTGAGTTGCCTTTTAGTTTTCTTCATCTTATAAATGATACAATTTCTTCAGATTTAAAAAAAAATCCCTCTATAACACTGTAGGAAACATAGCTGCTTTTAAGTTTTCCCTTATGTTGGATCTTACTGTTGTGTATCATAGGCCCTACCCATGATTTCATAATAGATGTCTTATCACTCTAAAGACCTGTTGTGGGAGCATGCTTGGAAAGGCCTGCAAGATGAATTAGCCACACCAGCCTAAATCAGATTGTCTACCAGAGTGACTCAAAGGCCTCACTACATGCTTCCTTTTGTTCTCCGCTGGCAGTTATATTTCTAGGTCAGGAAATCATTGCTGATTTTCTGACAATATAATTACTTTGTGACTTTTTTCCTTTTTGCAGGAAGATCTGTTTCAACAGCCAGGCCTGAGGTCAGAATTTGAGCAAATCAGGGACTGTTTGGATACTGGAATGATTGATACCCTCAATACCCTCTGTATCCTTTGTGTGTGTGTGTGTGTGTGTGTGTGTGTGAGAGAGAGAGAGAGAGAGAGAGAGAGAGAGAGAGAGAGAGAATATGAGTAAGAGAAGTGAGAAAAAGGAAATAATATTTTAAGGCTCAAAATCAGATATTGTATCCTCAGCTATCATGTTTTTCTTTCTTAAAGTTCGTATAGAGAATCCTTTACAACTTTCAGCAACAAATATAGTAGGAACTCAGGAGGGCCCAACTAAGCTGATAAACAGCTTGGCCTCTTCAGGATATCAGGCAGGCAGCACTTCTGGCATGTGCTTGCTCTTGGGCCTTTTCCTAACCATGGGCAGCAGCATCACCTGTTCCTTAACGATGGGCCAAAAGCCCCTAGCAATAATTCCGTAGCTGAAGCCTTGCTGCTTTTCCTGGAGAGCCTGCCAGAGCCCGTCATCTGTTATAGCGCCTACCATAACTGCTTGGAGTGTTCTGGAAACTACACAGCAAGTAAACAGGTGAGGGGAAGCGCTGAGCATCAGCTACACATGTTGTAGGCTTTGTGGGGCCTGAGGGAACAGAGCGATCACCGCCCTTCACATGCAGTATCTTAGAAACTCTCCTCCTGTATCTTTCATTTCCCAAACCTGTTTTTCCTCTCATGTCCCTTTTTTCTTTTAATGGCATCACATTTAATTGCAGTGACTCAACCCAGAAACCTGAGTCATTTCTGACTCCTCCACTTCTCACCTCCCACATGCCCAGTCCCCTTGATCTATCACCATCTTTTTTCTTCCATTCTCGTTCCACTTTCCTTGGTGCAAGGCCCTGTATTCAGGCTCTCTCTCTGCTGATTTGTTTTGTATACTGCCATTAGATCGTGTTCTAAAGCTTTCATCATATTACTGTTGGTCAAAAACCGTACTTGGCTTTCCATTGACACTTAATGATTTTCTTAAACATTCAAGACTTTCTATGATCTACTCTAGTTGCTCACATATATAACAGACCGTAATAGAATAATCTAGAAAACCTGAAAATAATACAGGTTCTAGAGCCTCACCCCACATCCACTGAATCAAAATCTCTTTTGGAATGTATTTCGTACAAGCTTCCTAACTTCATATGCAGATATCTGGAGTACTCACTGAATTCCAGCCTGATCCCTTCCGGGCTTAGTGCCTGTTCAGTCATGCTCCTGCCAACGACTCCTCACAATGTGTTCTATCTCTTTATCTCACTGTTTTCCTTCTCTTGTCCTTTTTTTGTACTTTCTTTTGTCCTAAATACCCTAGTCCTTACCTCTGCAAGTCCAATCTTGTCTTATATTCAAGACCTAACGAAAATGTCTTCTGTTCCCTTAAGTCTTTGGAGAGCACGTAGTTAGAAATTTGACCTCTGAATTCATGTAGCACTTGATCTGTACTTCTCTTTTGGCATTTGTGCCAAATGGTAAGTGATCAAGGTTTTCTATGCACAGTGTTACTCATGTAATTGGATCATGTACTCAATTCCTTTAATATAGCAGACACTTGACAAATAATTGAATGAAAAGACAAATCCCAATTCTGCCTCTTTCAGGTCATTTCTACTCTCCCCACATTCCACAAAAATGTCTTCCACTACTTGGTGGCGTTTTTGCGACTGTTGCTGAAAAATTCAGAAAAAAATCATTTGAATGAGAATATTCTAGGTAAGCAGCCAAGTATCTGTGGAAAGCATATCTGCAAACCAAGAGACTCATGACAAATGTGGTTGAGGAAGGTCCCAGGTCCACTGTAATAAAACTAAAATCTCAAGCTCTGGGCAAAGTTTACCCTCAAATAGTTTTTAAAGCAGAAAACTTGCTTTTGGGTACCCTTCCCCACTCCCAGTGACGCAAAGAATTAGTGCCTTCTTTTGCTGAATCACTTGTTTTCTGTGTTTTTCATGCAGCTAGCATATTTGGCAGCTTACTGCTTCGAAACCCAGCTGGTCAACAAAAGCTTGAAATGGCAGAGAAAAAGGCTCAAGAATTCATTCACCTCTTCCTCTGCAACTCACCCTGAGCCTGTCTGTCTCTTCTCCTGTTTTACCTGAGGCAGCCAATTACCAGTCCCACCTGTTTCAGGTCAAGAGTGGCCTTAAGAGGGTGTGAGGCCACTTGGAAGCTAGAGTGGCAACTGCCTATTCCTGAGCCCAGGCCATTTCCCCCCGCCATGGCTATCACATGCAGTACTGCTGTGAGTTATGAGGACATGAGAAATCTACAATAAAACTGACATTCAGTGTTCAACTTTAATTTAACACAGATCTCTCTTATTTTTTTAAAGATTTTTAAAAATTGATTTTTAGAGAGGAAGGGAGAGGGAGAGAGAAACAGCCATGTGAGAGCGAGTCATTGATAGGCTGCCTCCTGCATGCATGCCTCCCCCCCCAGGGATCGAGCCCAAAACCCTGGGCATGTGCCCGAACCTGGACTCCACCTGGCAGCCTTTTGGTGCACGGGATGACGCCCAACCAGTACTCTGTGTTTTTTTATTTTAAATATGTTTAAAAAACTGTACTTCTTGTGTTCACTCAGCCTGCCTCCAGGGCAAAGTCAGCGCCTTCCCTGTAGCCTGAGCAGAGCTCCCCATGATCAGATATTTGAACACACTTTGGAATTGAAAGGAGAATGACTTGGACAGCAAAAATGCAAGTGGCAGCTACTGATAAAACAGGTCACAGCCACCCCAGATGCTTCCAGCACTCTGAGGACATGTGTATATGCATATGCAAACCATATCCTCTTTCCTGCTCAGATGTGGCACAACAGCTCTGAAGCTCGCCACTCAGCCTCTGAGGTCAATACAGTGGCTTGAAAATGAAAATAATGAAGAAATTGGTGTTCTGGTTAAACAAGTGGGATTTTCTGGGCCAGCAGATCCTCCAAACTGTATATGATGCATCCCTCTCATATGTGTAATATATTTTAATGATAAATGTATTTTTAACGGTGGTTTGTGTTTTTCTTTGTGTGTGTGTGTGTATTTCTTAAGAGATGGCAGTTCTTTGCAGCTAGACTTTTGCAGCTTAAGCATTGGGGCAGCTGGTCAGGGGCCAAAGAGCTATTTGCCTGGCATCTGGTGGGTAGAGTCACTATTCAACATTTTTCAAGCAAGAGATGGTACAAGCATGGCCTGAACCCTTTGACCCCTGTTCTAGTTAGTCTCTGGAGGTGGTTGCACTTTGAATATTCCATAGAAGTAGCTTACGGGAAAAACAGGCGGTGACTGCTGGGAGGTACTAACAGCGAGGTCTTCCAAGGATTTAGAAAAGACGGGAGCATAATGAAGGCATAATCAAAGTCGCTTCTTGGGACCTGAACCACTCCTTGGAAGTGTAAAATGTGATTTAGGTATCAGCCAGTAGGATGACGACGTGAACGGTTAAAGGAAGGGGGTGGCCAGTAGGTGGCGTTGGCTGGCCCCCGGCGCGAGTACGGCTGGGAGCCGACCTTCCTCGGCCTGGGAAAAAGTTGGACGGAGCTGGGCGGGAGCGTGAGGGAGCTGTGCTGCTTAAGGGCCTACGCGAGGGGGAAGGGGCGGCGGCGGGCTCGGGCTGGGCTTGGGGTACTCCCTCGTTCCGCCATGTGGGTTCAATCTTCTTTCTCGGACCCTCCTGCCTATATCAGTGAACTTTGCTGGGGCCCCAGAGAGAAATGGCGGGAGCGTCACAGCCTTCCACGCTCCCTTTGCGGGTTCCAGACGGGATTCGGATACCTAACCGTGCGTGGTCCTTTCGGTCGCGTTTGTGGCTGCCGTGGCGAAGGCGGCCAGCGCGAGCCGCACTGAGGCTCCTTTGGATTAGCGCAGGGCTTCAGTCCCCCGACCATGCGTCTGGTGCCGCGGGAGTAACCCCCACTCCCTGCGGGCGGCGGAAGCGGCGCGCACTTCCCTGCGCGGGACGAACGCGCGCGACAAACTCACCGTCCCGCAACGTCTCCCAGGGCCCCACCCTCCCCGCTCGCCGATTGGAGGCTCCAGCTCAGCCCCTACACCCCCTAAACCAACCAGAAGTGCCAGGGGGAGGTGGAACGGGTCTCTCCTCCTTCCTCCGGAAAGCGGAAGCGGAAGTGACGTTTGGGGAAGGTGGAGGCAATCATGGTGCCGCTGGGGAGGGGAGAAGCTGCCGCTGCCGCCGTTGCCGGGAGCCGCGGAGGTAAAAGGCGAAACTAGACGCGGCTTGGGCTGGGGGCTTCCCTGGGGGCGCGGGACTTAGGCTCCCTCCTGAAGAATTTCCCAGTAGGGACCCCTGTCCGGTCACCATAGGGACCCCACCCCTCCTCCGTTTCCATGGGGATGGGTATCCAGCCCCCCTCTCCTGTTTCCATGGAGACCCGGACCCTGCCCCTCTTCGCCAGGCTTGGAGCCCCCCAGCCTGTCTTCAGATGTTTCCGTGTGGCCCTGGCTGGGAGCTTTTCCAGACAGGTTTCTTTCCCAGCCTCCTCTCTGGGGTGCTCTGTTTGTACTCCTCGTCTGCCATCCTCAAACCTCCTGGTCTTGTTTGTTTCGGACAGTTGGTCTCAGCTTGGCTGTCGAAGGTGCCTGGGCAGCCCAGTGGGGCCCCGGTGCTCTGCTCTCCTCTCAGATGCAGCGAAATGTGCATCTACCGGGTTGCGTAAGCCAGAGCAAGAGGTCGGGCGGGCTCTTCCCGGATCCGATCCCTTGGCCTGTGTCTGGTAACTCTCTCTGTGTCTAGCTGCCCCACTACGTAAGAGGTTCACTTTCTAATCCAGAGCAGAAGAGAAAGATAAAGTGCAAATCCAGACTGAAAACTAAAAGTGACGTGATTATTTTTAAATTCTCTCTTCTGCCTGCTAGACTAAAATTTGTAGAACCTCTGTGTTTGCAGGTAAATGAGGAATCACTGTTCCAAAACAGGAAAGATTCAGGTTTGTTATTTCCCCCAAGAGAGTGTATCTGCGGGTCTTTCATTCATTTAACTGACATCTCCTGAACTCCTAGCGTCAGTGTACTGTGCTAGGGACACTAGAAACAGAAATAAGACCCATCATTCCCTCACTGCAGAGAGCGCACTATACAAGAGATACTTTTGCTGGATACCAGATTGTTTTAGGGCATAAACAGATAAAATTATTTTCATTAGATATGCCTGATTAGAAATCAGCCCCTCTACTCAGAAGCTGAAACATCTGTTCTAGGAAGGAGGGAATGAATTCACACTTGTTTCCTTTACTATTGCTTTAATGTACATTATCTCTTTTACTCCACATAACTGTGAGAGAACAGGAATTACCAGTCCTACCTTACGCATTAGAAAAATGCACAGAAAAATTCCCCAAGTAGTAAGTGGCAAAGATGGAATTTGTGGGTAGGTGACACTGCCTCCAAAACTTTGCTCCTTCCATTTGTAGACTGCTCTGCCTCTTGGTCTGATTTGGGGCTATATTTGAGTGGGGTTTCCTTACTTTTAAGATTTATAGCAACTCAGACTTGAAGCATTTTGCCCCTTTATCCCCTTTAGGTATGTTGGCCAACCTTCAAATTGTTTGGCAGTGCAGCGCATTTGGAAGGTCTCGTGAACTTCTACTCATTACTTCAATTTTTTTAAAAAGGCATTGCTTTTAAAATGACTTGATGGTTTCAAAGTAAAACTTAAAAAATTATTCCCAGGGAAGATGATTTTTCATTTACTTTGACTTGCTCTTGAAATGAGAGGAAAAAAGAACCCTGTGGTTGCTGAGAAGGTCCCGAGATCCTGTGGTGTCACTAACTCTGGCTTTGTTCTGTTGCAGACAGGTCATCACCTCTCCATTTCTCACAATTGGGCTGAGCACAATTGAACCATGGGGGAACACAGTCCAGACAACAACGTCATCTACTTTGAGGCAGAGGAAGATGAGCTGACCCCCGATGACAGGATGCTCAGGTTTGTGGATAAAAACGGACTGGTGCCTTCCTCATCTGGAACTGTTTATGATAGGACAACTGTTCTTATTGAGCAGGACCCTGGCACTTTGGAGGATGAAGAAGATGATGGACAGTGCGGAGAACCCTTGCCTTTTCTAGTAGGGGGTGAAGAGGGCTTTCATCTAATAGATCATGAAGCAATGTCCCAGGGTTATGTGCAACACATTATCTCACCAGATCAGATTCATTTAACAATAAACCCTGGTTCCACGCCCATGCCAAGAAATATCGAAGGTGCAACCCTCACTCTGCAGTCGGAATGTCCAGAAACGAAACGGAAAGAAGTAAGTAAAGCAGCGGCTGAGGGCTCAGTTTGGCTTTGGGGAAAGTCCTTACACAACTCTTGTTGGCAATTTTAGCTGGGGAAGTAAAGGAATCCCTGGAATGAGGACCTACAGTGGCTTTGCTTGTCAGTCGTACATATGCTTCACGTTTTGTTGTGACTGCTTTCTGGAACTTTTGGTTTGGAAGCTTACATTGAAATTTGGGAAAACTAAATTATAATTTTACAAATTTTCCTCCCCAAATCATAAATAAAAGAAATTTCATTGAGGCAAATCTATATTTTTGATGCTGAAATGACTAGACCTGGCTTACCTCTGGGTTATATGTAAATGATTTGTTTTGGAGATGAGTCTGCTGGAATATGCTTTTTTAGTGGATGTTTAATGAATAATAAAGGCTGTCTTTCATAAGAAATTCAGGCAAGAGACACTAAATGAGAGCAGGTTATCTAAAATAAGTTTTCATGCTTATATTTAGCTAATGTGAATAAGGTAATGCATGTCTCAATGCTTTGGAAAGTGTAAAACATTGTACTAGTGGTGATTATTAGAATAAAAGATGTGGCGTAAAGGTAGTGTTATACATTATCCAGGAACTAATTGAAGGTCAATTAGAAAAAATAGATCACTGGTAGCCTCAATGCCAGGGACTAAATGTAAAATGTTACCAAATAGACATAGGGTAAATTGTTTGGCAGAATAGTTTTTTCTTGTAATTAAGGTCTTGAAACTGGGGGATTTTATTATTCATGGCATATGGCTTTTCCTTTGCTAGCCTTAGGATCTCAGAGCTGGAAGGAGCCCTAGAGAGACCATCTTGTCCTACCTCCTTACCCCATGCAGGAGTCTCTCTGTAGCATCTCTGACATCAGTTCATCTGGTCTCGTTTGAACACTTCCAGAATGATGAGAGCACAGTGTTTCATGGCTCAGCCTAATAGATTTGTTGGCTAGCTCTGATTGTTAGAAAGCTTTTACTTGTATAGAGCCAAAATCTGTCTTCCTGCAGTTGCTGCCTACTCTTTCTAGTTCTGCCTTCCTGAACAACAGCAAATTAAACCTTCCTCTCACAGGACAACCCATCGGATATTTAAAGATTGTGGAGGTCTCTTGATCTTTCCCCATACAGGCTAAACACCTCCGTTTATTTAAAGATTCCTCTTACAACATTTTCCCCTTGTTTCTCATCAGCCTGCTCTCCTTTGATTGTATAAATTCCAGTTTTCCAAATTCCTCTTAAAATTCATAATTGAGCACAGTCTCACAATTGCAAGTCAACTAGCACTGAATACTGTGTGATTCTTATTTTTAATCTGGACACTGTACTACAATTAATGTATAGTCTGTATTTTAGTAACGGTGACGTCATACTCCCAGCCAGCCCCCCACAACAAAGAATTATGTGGCCCAAAATATCAATTGGTTATGTTCCAATAAAACTTTATTTACAAAAATGGGCAGTGGGCTGGATTTGGCCCACTAGCTGTAGTGTGCCTACCCCTGGACTAGAACACAGGGAGTAGTAAAAGATAAAGATGGTAAGATAGTAGAGATCCAGACATGGAAGGCAGTGATACCATGCTAAGGAGTTTGGACTGTATTCTGGAACCAGAGGGAAACCACTGAAGGTATTTGAGCAAGGAGTGATGTAGTTAGAGTCGCATTTTAGAAAGATTGCTCTGGTAGCAGTGGTAGTTTGATTGCCCAGTCAGGAGATAGTTGTAGTTTAGGTTTGGGGTTTCATTTGCGTCTGATGAAGGGTAGTGGCCTTGTATGTGGAAAGGCCAGAGCTTTTCTTGAAGTATAGGAGAACTTGGTATGATATTAGAGTGTGAAGTATGAGCCATGAATTGGGTATGATTCAAAGGACTCATCCAGTTTTCCAAGTGTGTTGAGTTTCTTCTGTGTCTTAGCACAGGGGCCTCACAGATGATTCACACAACTTTAATTCTAGGTAGTGAGCCGAGCAGTTAGAGTCAACTGTGATAGGTACTTTAACAGGCATATTCATAGTGCTGTGTGCATGCTGAGGAGAAAGCAGCTACCTCTGCTGGCCCTTGCACTCTCTGGGAATGGCAATTCCATAACAGAAATCAAGAAGACAAGAACGGGAGAAAGCTTGTGGGGAAATTGATGAGTTTGGTTGGAGTATGTTGAATGCATAGTCCTTGAGAAAAGTAAAGTGAACAAGTTGAGAAGCCCATTGGAAATGTGAATTGGAAGTCGAGGAAATGGGTTGGGATTAGAATTGTGGATCTGTGAAGGGGCAATAGTTCAAACTGTGGGCAGTTTACTCAAGGGAGAAGTAAGAGTTGACCTGAGAATGTAAGGGTTAGAAAGAGAAAGAGGAACCATAGATCACATAAAGGGATGGGTGGAATGCAGTGCTGTGGAAGCTGAGGGAAGAGAGTTGCAGGAAGTGTGAATATTTCTCTGTGACCCTGCAGAGGAATTGAGGGGCCCAAGAGAAGCCATTAGTTCTGCTCTCTGTGCAGTTGATCACATCATGAGAAGACTCAGTAAAGCCCTGGGGCTGAAGCCAGATTTTGAGCGATGTAGAAGTGAGTGGGTGGTAAGGAAACAGGAGGCAGGAAGTGTCAGGTTTTTTGTGTTTTTTTATGTGGTAGTTGGAGGAAGAAGAGTGTTAAGGCAGTAGTAACTTAAGGGGACTGAATCATTTTTTTAGCACAGAAAATCTGACATAGCTCAGGGCCAATCGATGTTAATGATTACTAGTGAAAGTGTTTCAAGAGCAAATGTTAGGGAAACATTAAGTTAAATTAGGACAGAGGTTTGTTTATTACAGGGTTTCTCAGAGCTTTTGAGGTGTTAATAACCAAGAAGGAAGGAAAGGCAGAATTCTCCAAATGTTTTTAACTTGGTTAAGTATTTTTCAGTGTCATTACCAGGGTCAGTGTTTTGGGGAACACGTTTTGGGATATGCTGATCTAGGCAGAAGGGGATGTGGCAGGGAGGGAATGATTATGCAGTGAGTGATAGGAGCTGCCACTAGCCCACTCTGTACTACTTGCAGGCCTGGTTTACCATTCATGACTCAGGTCATTGATAATCATGTTGAATAGGACAAGGTCAAGGGTATTATGAGCACCTTGTTCAGTCTACTGTGGATTTAGCTCATTGGACTTTCCTCTCTCCACATTTTTCCATTCTATCCATGAGACCTACGTGGAAGGTTCTGTAAACTGTTTTGTTGTTGTTAATCCTCACCCAATGATATTTTTCCATTGATTCCCCCCCCCATTGATATTTTTAGAGAGAATGGAAGGGAAAGGGGGGGTAGAGAGAGAAAGAGACAGAGAGAAACGTCAATGTGAGAGAGACACATCGATTAGTTGCCTCCCACACTCACCTCGAACGGGCTCAGGAATTAGACCTGCAACCCAGATATGTGCCCTTGACCAAAAATCAAACCTGTGACCCTTCAGTGCTCTAACCTTGAGCCACACCTGCCAGGGTGCTGTATACTGTTTTTGAAATCAATAGGTGTGGAGTTGGTTGGGGATTGAGAGAGAAGCAGCAGTGGCTTTTAGTCTTTTAAAATCTTGCTAAGTGACTGGGCATTCAAGAGACTTGCCTTCCTGAAGCACCCTCTTACTTTAGCTTTTGCTTTAACAGTGATTTTATTTTTTTGGTATTTAAATTTATTTAATTGGCCGAAGAGACCAATGTTTATAACTGTTTGATAACACTCTTCATGATTCTTTACTTCCGCTCCCTCTTTTTCAAAACTTAGTCTCTGTCTCCATCTCCCATGCCCAGGTGTTACTCTTGAGAAATCTAATCATTTGAAAACTAGTTAGTCTTCTTGGTTTCTTAAGCAGCTTATTTCCTGAGTCAGATTTTAGCCTGAATTTCCTGTTTACCCCTGATTGTTCCATTGCTTTCTGTAGTGGGTAGTTGGCTTACCTATTAGTCATGTGCCACATAACAATGTTTCTGTCAAGCCGGGCCTATCAACAGAGCCATATACAGTGGTGGTTCCATAAGATTATAATGGAGCAGCGGTGTGTTGTAGAATTGAATACCTGAAACCTGTGTAATTTCATTAACCAATGTCACACCATTAAATTTTAAAAAAGAGAGATTATAATGGAGCTGAAAAATTCCTATCATCTAGTAATGTCCTAGCCATGGTAGCGTCCTAGCGCAAAGCATTACGTGTTTGTGGTGATACTGGAGTAAACAAACCTGCACAGCCAGTCATATAAAAGTATAGCACATATAATGATGTACAGTACATAGTACTTGATAATGATAATAAATTACTATGTTACTGGTTTATGTATTTACTATAGTATGCTTTTTATTGTTATTTTAGAGTGTGTTCTTTCTACTAAAAACCAAGTTTGCTGTAAAACAGTATGCTGCGTTAGGCCAGCAGCAGCCTCACACATCTCGTGTTTACTGTATATCTTGATTGCATCACTTTCTCTTGTGCTTGATTTACTCTCATGTTGTTTTGTATAGTAACATGCTATATAGGTTTATATCCTAGGAACAATAGGCTATACCATTTCGCCTAGGTCTGCAGTAGGTTAGACCTTCTAGGTTTGTGTAAGTGCACTCTATGATGTTTGCCAACAAAGAAATCGCCGAAGGATACATTTCTCAGAATGTATCCCCATCATTAAGTGGCACATGATGGTGCTTCATTGTTTTTCCTCATGCTTGCCTTGTGCAAGAATAAACCAACCAGAACCTTGCTACAGATACTGTCTTTTCCTTCCACAGGGACACTGGTCATTCTGACTCTAATTTCATGTATCATCTTCTCATACTTGCTGTTTTACTACGCATATCTGTTGATTTGGTAGCTTTGAAAAATTTCCAATTAAAATATTGTCATTCTGCTTGAGATCAGCATTTTTAAGAGTAGCTCCTTTAAGGTCTTTCTACTCTGGGTTTCTAAGTTGTGTTTTCTTTAGTTGGTTCATGCAGTGCATGGTTTCCCAAACCTGCATCTATGCCCTTCCTGAGAAC